TCAGTTTCATCGTTCGCGAACACGCGTAATCTCGCGTGTGTTTCTTCTCTCGCTTGGCTCGGCTCCACTCTTGTCCCGCGATAAACTTGAGAGTGGGTGGCCGACCGCCGGCATACTTATGCCTTCTATCTCCTTTTTTATCCCGAACCTGGGGCAGCCGCGAGTGCGTTGAGAAGACGGCAACGAGGACGGCGTCGCTGGCCATTCTGCCGCCGCCGCCGCCGCCGCCGCCGCCACCGCCGCCGCCGCTGCATGTAAGTTATTCTCGGAGGGAGGCTGCGGTCCCTAGGTTCGACGCCCCGACCTGGCCCAACTGGAAAAAACCGGTTTCTTCGTCGCGCTCTTCCTTTTTTGCCTGCATCCTCGCTTTTTGCGCCGCGAGTGCCTCGACTTCTCTGACGCTCTTTCCCTTCTTCTCCATCCCGTTCGCCACGGTCGCTCCCCTTCTCTTTCTCTTTCCCTATCTTTCCCGCTCTCCTTTCTCTCTCTCTTCTCCGTTCTTTTTTCTCTTTTGCTCTCTCTCCTCATTCCTCCAGCTTATTCTCTCCGACTCGACCGAGAGAGTGGACGCAGCGTGGGCGAATCCCCGAGGGACTTTATGATCCACCGTGACCAGATTCATCTCTCTCTCGCGAGGCTATACGTGCGCTGGTTCTCTGTACGCCGTTCTCACTATACCATTCCCAATTCCATGCTTCCTGGTCCCAGTACGAGGCTGTATATCTGCCAGAGCCGACGGTTTTCTGCATTACATCAGGATTTTTGCCTCAGCAAAAATGCGGAGATTCTCCCGTAATCGATTCTATATGCACTCTTTCGTTTCTATTTCAAAATATTTCGATTATATCGAAGGTGAATATGGAAGAGAGTTCTTCATTTTGTGCTCATTTTCATCGCGGATTGAAAACATTCGTATGCATCGAAATTATTCGTAAATTCGCAAATAATTCTGTTTTCGTTGGATAAATAAATTTCCAGCGGCGTTAATCAATATCAGAGATGATTGATAATTGCTGAATAATACGAGGGAATATAACGGCCGGCAAAGTGACGTCTATGTCTGGTATTTTTACCATTGCGCTGTAAATAATTATATCGGTACTCAATTTAGCCGCGAAATATTTGGTCTTCCGATTAAAAGGTGGTAATTATAAATTTTATCGGTTTCTTTGTTCATTGAGCACTGATCGTATTATTGGCCGACTGCTCGGCCGATCACGTTTATTCTCTCGGATTTTTTCGTATCCTATCGCCGATTGGTTTCTCGATTTTTCCCGGCGATCCCGGTCGTAGATTATCCGTTCCTCGAGGCCTGACGCGGGCCCGGGTCAGGGAGTGGCGTAAAAAGGAAGTGGGTGTGAGCACACGCGTAGCGGTGCGTGACGTCGGCCGCGATGTGGCCATTTTGTGTTCATAGAGACGGGACCATCTTTGATCGAGGGCCGAGATCTTGTTAGTAGAGCGACTCTATTAGAACAAATCAAGACGGAACATTTTTTATGCCTCTAAATCAATATACTATCATCTCTGATTTGCAACGTTTAAATGTAGAAGATGCCTTATGTGACAATATACTTTAATAGCGGAGATCGCAAAAGAATTGAAGAAATTTAGTATAAAAATTTGAGTTATAAATGATTAAAGTTAACCAATAATATCGCGCAAGATGTATCTCTATTTAAGCTTACATTTACACGAACTATTGATTTATTAATTTTAATACGATACTTATTTTTATTACTCAGTTTATTTTTCTTTTTAACTTCTTACATGTAAATATGCAATTGACATCAAATTAACCACGTTTTAACAGCTGTATGTTTATTTTAATTTTTTTTAAGAAAAATTAAAAAAATTTAATAATTTCTACATATAAAAATAATTATTAAATTTTAATGTTAATTCTAAATTTAAAAAATGTATTTTTTTTTATTTTATATTTTTATTTCATAATATTATCAAAAAAGGGAAATGTTTAATTTAATATTGTTATTTTATTATTAAATTTTTAAGTTTGTATGAAAGCGATGTTGCTGGTTTTAATAATTCAAGAAAAAATTGATCGCTACTCTGCGGTAATTTTATTTTAATTCCTTAACAATTTATTTTATTTTTATTTATTTATTTTTTTAAAATATGGTTATGATTTATCAAAATCGGACAATTTTAGTAGACCAGATCGTAACAGTTTTCGATAAAAAGTAACAATAATAAATTAATTTCTATAACTATCTTATCCGAGAGATTGAAATTTTGTTCTTTAAAATGTAAAACAGTACTAACGTAAAATAGTACAGTATAATAATCTATCGTAATTAATTAGAAATTCTATTAAAAACCCTATCAAAATTAATTAGAAGTACGAGTAATAGGATATTCGACGCCCATTTATATATTATATAATATGTTATGTTAAATATTTGACAATGGTGATTTTGGTTGACACACGACGCTAGTTTCGATTGCATATGGTGCGTTGTATAATATTGTCACTCAACATTCGCGAGATTCGAGTCGGTAGACAATAACGCGAGTGTTATTATATTATTTTCTCGAGAAAACGATAAATATTAGGAGGAACCGCGATCATTCTCCTTGTCAATGTTTAGCAATTATTAATTCGTGCAACTGACTCTTATAATAATTAACGACTCGTAAGAAAGCAATGACTATTTATCGAAACAAATGTCAACGTACTCTATGCTTTCCTACAGTAGGAATTAACGTACAAACTATAAATTATTATCTTATAATACTTTATATATAAGCGAATTATATTCTCGAATTTACTCGATCTCGGATATTTCACATCGCAATCCAAATTTTTCGTCTATTAATTATTTTTGGATCAAGAGCGCGGAGTTATGCACGGAGCCGAGCGATTAAATATGAAGTGATCAAGTGATATATCGTTTATTAATAATTAATTTGCAAGAGATAGAATTAGTTCACTGTATTTCTCATAGTAATATCAATTATCACGCGGCTTATGTCGATTTTCTTTCGAATAACGTACGTTTTATTGTGTACGCGACTTTGTTTACGTCCGCGAGGTGAGAGTCGCACCGGCAAGTAACGGCCGCGGCGCGGGCGTTCGGTACATATTATTTCTCGAGACGCCAACGAGACAGATACCAGGAGCAAACGCGATCGTTCCTTATGAATAGTTATCAATTTTAATTGTATTGTATCATGCAATGTAAAGTTGTTAACATTAGATTTTTGCATCGTTAATAAGTATGAACGTCGTATATCGACTCAAAGAATAAAATCAAATCAAATCAAATAGATCGCGACGCATTTAATTAATCGTAGTTAACTGTAGTGAAATTGTAGCATTTTAATATTTTCCAATAACGTAGTATATAACTCCGGTGTTCAAATTATTTATTTAATTATTTAATACATCCAATTATCTAATATGTGAATAAAATCTATTAAAATCTCCCTCCGTTAAAATTCTTCTCTTATTAACGAGATGTTGAACGAATTGTGTTTGCACGCTTTTCGTATTTTACTTTTTTTTTTTGTAACAATGTGACGAAAAATAATTCACGGGAGTGTCGTATAGAAGTATTAGTGCACGTACGATTATAATCATGTTTTTGTGGATATGCAGTGTGAATGCCACGAAGAAATCTGAGAGGAGGAGGAGGCCCGGGGGGCATCCGGCGACGGCGGAACAACGTTGAGGTAAATTTATTACTTCAAACTTGAAATAATCGTTCATAATTATACGTATTTTATGTGCGCAACAATTATTTCTTGAAATATTAGTTGCTTTAAGCTATAATTAGGATATATTTTTATTTTGCAGATCAACGTGATGCAGTTTACAACTCTGCTGCTGCGCATCGTATCGGTGAGTGAACCACATTTTATATTGATTTGAAGTAATGGATCTATGAAAATTATATTGTTACATACGTAGACATGTTCGTATCCAGTTTAAGATTATAAATAAATATGATATCTCTTAGATCCAGTGCCTCAAAATGGATAGACTAAAATGGATTAGTGTAATATTTTTTAAATTTTATGCACTCACTTGTCGATCGAAAAATATATAAAGCTTGTCATATCAATCATTTACTAACATATTTGATATCTCATTAGTGAAATACATACTAATTGTGATAAAATTTTTATAAGAAAATTCATAAGGAGGTATAAATAAAATTGTAAGAAATAATTATTACGATACTATTATTTAATGCAATATTACTTATAAATTAAAAAATTATTTTATTCATTTTCTTTTTGTAAAATATTTTTTCTTAATGAAATTTAAAATTATTTCCAAGATTTTCTCTTTCCAAGATTAAATGGCATAAATGCAAAAAAGCTCAATACTTAAAAATTATTTAAATATTATATGTATTTATTTTCACATTACGCGCTAATTTTATTCTAGTTTTTCATAGTCTATCCATTCACATGTATTGTTAATTTATAATCGTTTTCAATATCATAACATAATTATGGATCTAATTGTGTGTAACAACTTTACGAAATTGGCCAACTTTGATCATTTATAGCTAAAAGAAAATAACGATCTCGACATTTTCATGTAAGATTTTTAATTGTGTTTAGTCTCCAGAGTACGTTATTAATATGCTGTCCGATATAACACCCTTGATAATATTCTTTCTTTGTCTGGGTTATTTTTCTTAAACGTTGTGATTTCTTTTGACGGCTTTATGAATTGTTAGTTATTTACAATTTAAAAATGCATACTAAATGTGGATGATAATCGACAATATGCGAGCTCCTCTCTTTTCCTCGAGCGGCGATAAAATCCGAAGGCCGTTTTGCGCTCGGTGCGCAATTCTTTTCTCCCGCCCTCCCGTCGTTACTTCTTTCCTTTTTTTTTCTTCGCCGCCGCCGTCTTTCCTTGGCTTTTTTAGCAGTGACGAGGCCGCGAGACTCGCCGGCAGACAACCTTCGGTACGATACTTCGGCTGTTCGTTCGGCTCCAGCGCGGCTCGCGGAATCCGCTAAGAGATATTCACCGGCTTGCTCATCTCTTCTTTCTCTTTCGTTCGAAAGAAAGAGTACGTTCTCCCTCGCTTCGGCTTGCTCGCTCGTTCGCGCGAACGTTATTTTCTCGAGACGAGAACGCTTTGTCTCCCAATAAGGAAGGCACCAGAAATTCTTGATTCCCTTTCTCCGTTCGCGTCTGACTCATAGCTGCTTTCGGAGCTTTCGGTCGAACGATGAGAAGAACACAAACAACGCAAAAGTCCAAAGCGATGTATAAAAGACATCGAAAGTATCTCTGAGAACTCTTATATTTTTGTTTCGCTCAAGAATAATTTTCCCGCGATAATGTAATCATGTTCAGAGACTTTCAAATAGTTACATGAGAATTATTATCCCTTTCGTGATCATTTCGTTTTTGGGCGTGCAAAAAAATTATATGAAAAACGTATGCGATCGATAAGAATTAATATGCGTCGCTAGTCACCCCGTCACTCGTTCTTCATCGTCACCCCGCGTTATTAATCCACTTCCAAGAATCGCGCATTGATAATTCGCGCGTAACACACGTACGTGAAAATCAGTCGCTGACGAACGAGGCGAGGCGAGAATGAGGGAGAAAAAAAAGCGAATCTACCTAACGCCACGAGGGTTGACGACGGAGCACCCTCCGTGTTGTGCCAATAGGAGACTCGGATCGCCCCCGAACGCGTTCGACTAGGCGAGCGGAAAAAAAGGAGCGCGTAAAGGGGCGTCGGTACAATGGGGTACAAATCCCACCCTATCGGAAACGCCACGGGAATGATTTCATTAGTGTCCGCGCTGGTGATCGAACATGGAGAGAAAAAAATAGAAACGGAAAGAGTCACGAAGGCGGGGTCGAAAAAATTAATGCCACGGGGTGAGAGAAAAGGAAAGTTCAAAGCGCGCGCGCGATCAGAGAATGAAAATTATACAAAGTAATCATAAGAATAATCGAAGAAAATCATCATAAATGTATGTGAGATGCTTTAAAAGTTACAATGATATTTTTTTCGTTGTACGTGAAAGAAATTGAAATAAATGCAAAAGTTGCTGCAGCGAGAAGGATTAAACGAAAAAAAAAAAAAGAAAAAAACCGCGAGACGATACAACATCTCGTAAGAGCGAATCGTGAGGTTATACCGCGAAAGACCGTCCCACTTTTCTATTTTAATGCCGCAAAAGAGACAAAGAGTGAAAAGTCCTTCTGGAGATTCGCCAACCGGTGATGTTTACCGACGAAAAAGAGAGAGAAATAGAAAGAGGTCGTAGTGGGAAACCGAGGGAGGGGAGAGGAGCGTGGTGCGAACCTTGTTTAATTGGGAGAGCGTTCCGAAATTAAGAAGCAGCAATTAGCCGCGATCGACAGGCGAAAGCGTTTATGTTACGCTTTGGTGATACATCATCATACATCTCCATGACTGTTGCTATTATGATTGTCGCGACATGAGACATTAATGAATTGCATACTCATGATCGTGACGTAGGAAAAAAAGGAACAAGAGCCGGATTATAATCGTTTCATATAGTCTTCGCGACGCGAGATCAATCAGGCGGCGCGATACTCTGTATTCTGTGCAATATACAGTTTCACGTGACGCGCCGTTAATTAAATAGATATCGTGTATCAGACGCACGAAAAATACGAAGCGCCGTTATATAATTTCGTGCCACAACGCTATCATAATTTCGCGCATTTCGAGAAAACTACGTGATTGTCGAGGATGTGCGTATATGTGTACATGCGTGCGTGTTTCGCGCGAATGGATCATTATAATGAAAATCGGAGATAATACAATTTTACAGGTGCAACGAGTGCGCATGTAAACGCGCCGCGAAACGAGTTGAAATTACAGCCGAAAGGAATTCCCATAGGCTTTCCCATATATTGACCCGATCGTTTTACCTTTAATCGTTGCCATGGGTACTTCGAACACTGCGACAAAGAGACCAGCATGAAATGGAGATCAATTTGAATTAATGTGATACCATTAAATCGTCAGTCATAGGTTTAGATTTTCAGGAGTGTTCATACTTTCACGGGAGTGTTCCGATCGTGTGCGCACGCTCTCGCGGGGAAGAAATTAAAAAAACATCGCGTAAATACCGCGAGCACGGTAATTAATTAGCGCTCCGTGTTGGCGAAAATACGGCGCGATAAACGAGTAAAATCACCTCCATCCCACGCGCAAATAGATTTACATTTATTGCAGGCGATCAATCCGTACGCGGTCAACGAGAATCGCGCATGTGAAAACAAAACAAAAAAAATGTAGCGTTAAACGTGATACAACCACCGCGCGGTTTTTAGTACAGCAACGGGAGAGGGATGAATCTCCGTGGCGAGAGAAAATAAATCTAATGGCTAACGAGTTTTTACCGAGCCGCGCGCCGGGGCAATTAAGAAGAGGGGTGGAGGAGGGTCCGGAGAACGGAGGGATGACAGGAAGGCCCCGGAGGTGAGTGTCGGAAGAAGGTCGGAAGATATGCGAGGAAGGTCCACGACGAGGTGGTAGGAAAGGGGGTTGTATCGTGTTGCACGACATTCACAACCCTTGTACCGCTAAACTACGGATAAATACGAAGACTCTGCGCCACGTGAAAGTGGCTGGGAGCCACGAGAAGGAGAAAGAAAGGGTTGAGAAGAGATCAGGGTTGGCCAAATTCGCGAAACTCTCGGCAAAGCGTTTATAATTTTGCATTCTCATTTACGGTCAAATTTACGGTCTCTCGTCGAGATCGTTTGGACGGATCTTGCGCGCGAAGCAAAAGTCTCGTGTTAAAGATAAAAAGGGGGAGGAAAAGCTCGCGTATCACGAGAATGTATTGCCAAATCGGGCGATTTTTTATACCTTGATCCGAGACGAGCTCGGGAAGAAATTTTGACGCGGTTTAGCGACGCGAAATTTAAGAGAGCCATGGGGTATTAACCGCAGAGACATATCGCGAGACAGTGTATATCGTTGGATGATCCGCCCCTGTTCCGAGCCGAGCGGGAAGAGGGCAACAGTTAATAGGATACACGGGAGAGAGAAGAGAAGAAGGACAAGGAGGTGGGGAAAGTGCGGGGAAAGAGGAGGAGATGTGTAGGTACCATAGACGAGTTTCTATGCCCGGGCTACCGATCGTTCTCTATAATACATTTACGCTCCGGCCTATTATAATATTGTACTCCGGGTGTATTGTCTTTCTTAGCGGGATAATGTTTCGCCGACACGCCAGGCCTCGACCTGGAGCGTAACTCTTTCATTTCCCCTTACTCTCCACCGTACTTCCGTGAGCCGTTCCTCTTTCTTCGTTGTCTCGCTTTCTCTGCGTTTCGAGCTATCTCGTGTTCCGGTGTGTTGCTTTTCCTCTCTTTCTCTGTTTCTCTCGTCGGTTCTTCTTCTTTTTTTTTTTTCTTATTAAACAACGATCCATTAGCTATCGGGAGAGGAGAGGGAGATGGGGTGGAGGGGGTGGGGGTGGTGGTAGCAGCCCGGCGCGAAGAAGACGGGCGGCTAGGCGGTCTGAAATAGCGAAAACAATTTCAAGAAATCTGCCCCGGCGAAAATTCGATTAGCCGCGGAAGATGGGCTCGAGCTCTCCATTTGTTTCGTTTCGTTTTATTTCCAGCGGGCGCGTACTCTGTTTCTGTCGCGCGCTCGCGCTCGCGCCGGCGGCTTTTAATTACTTCGCCGCTGCGCGCGCTCGCCGTAAGATCTTCTCTCCCTTCTTCCCGTTCTCTTCTACATCTTCTCCATTTCTTCTCCTCGCTTCCCGTGGTTTTTCTTCCTCGTTTAACGCGAGCTACGTGCATCCTGATGTTTTTGCCGATAAGTCTGGACAACGCCGCCGTTCTCGCGGGCTGCTTGATACGTTGCTGCATATTTCGTATTAGTATTTAATCTGATGTATCGATCTCGCGCGTATAAGACAGCTATTCAGGAATGGTTTCGCACAGGGTGAGTCCTACTACCATTGGAAAACTCATCAAGGCCGTCGTCCGTTACACGTAATAAAAAATGTAGGGTCAAATAACTCGACTGCAAAAAAATATTCTCATTAGCGCGAGGATTATCGCATGGTGCGTAAAAAACCGGTGGCAGTAATGGGGTCGTCATTATACGTCAGTTCATTCTTTCGTAACTGCGCATTTTTAGAAGGAAAAAAAAATTAGGTAGGCCTGTGAGGCGGGGGCCCCGTCGACATGATTTCATGGGTGATTTATCGGGGTCGTGCGGGGGATGGTAACAGGATAATCCGAAGGCTTTAGCCGTGGATTAGGTTTCAATTAGAGAAGCCGGGCGTTAAAAGAACGATATTTATTGCCAGAGCATCTGACGTGTGAACGGATTAAGCTTGCATAAGCCTGGACGCGCCGCACCTGATTCCGCGACTCGTGAAAATCGGACGTCTCGAAAGATGATGATGATCTACGTTTTGTATGTTAAATTACACGTATAGTAAAAGTATTTCACGATCGTAGCGAGCGCATTAATATAGAAACGTTATTTTATGAATTGTTACGTAACATGATGTAAATTGTGGAATAAGTATGAGATGAACGACGTCTCTTCTCGTGGCAAAGAGAAAGGAAGAAGAAAAGGAGGAGATGAAGAGAAGAGGAATGAAAGGAGTAGAGAGGATAAGAGCGCCTTGCGTACAGGCCGACAGCAGATGCCTTCCCACGTTTTTTCGTTGAGACATGTGCCCGGCGCGGAAGGCGAAAGGGTTGAGAAATTCAGTTGCCGGCCGGGTGGGGCGGTGGCGGCAAAAAACTGCCCCACGATACAAGATTCCGCCGGTAATCGCTGCGAGCCGCGATTCCACGCGAGCGAGGGGTGAATTCGATTAACAGGCACACGGGGGTCATGGTCTTTTTCTCAGATCAGACCGCGTTTTTTTTTTTTTTTTTTTTTCGTTAACCTCTGTCCCTCTAATAACCGGTCGGTGCCACGCACCCTTGGCCACCGTAAAGCTCGTGCGTGTGTAAACAACGATTGTTCATTCACGGTGACTCGTATGAGAAAATCTTCCGGTCTATGTCGCTTGTAACGCACTGTGTCAAAGAGCTTCTCGCCCCTCGTGACAATTTGTGTGTTCGTCGGACTCGTACCAAGGACGTGTTAATTATTCGGCGTAATCGGTTTCTTCGAGTTTCGTCCTGTCGTCTCTGTTTTGAAGATCGCTGTAATTGTTATTATATAAATTCGAGCGATAATCTTTTTCCGATTTTCTCGAATCGATTGATCATATATATATATATATATATATATGTATAATGTTGATTTCATGATGACAAGCGCCGTATGAGAATTCAGAGGCAAAAGCAAGCCCAAGCACCCCGCGAAGGATCCCAGAGGAACTATCCAAAGCTCTTGATAGTACATTGTTATTTTGGTAGAATAAATACACGCTATCTACAAAAGAGAAGGAGTCAACTACGAATCATGGCGCGATTATTTAGGTTGGGACGTGCTTGGATCTGAATTTTCTATTCGCAAGCTTGATGTTTGCCGGTATGCGTTTAAGCCCGACGCATGTTCGTCGCATCTTCAACACACGACGACTGTTTTAACTTGCTTGAGACTCGCATCGATTATATAGGGAGCCCTCGAAACGGAACAAAGGAAACGGCGGACAAAGAGCGTTTAAACGGGAATCCATCTGTACAAAGTATCGAGGCAAGCGTGAACCCACCACCACCATATGCGTGCGTATACGAATAACGAGAACGTGTCGCGCGAGAAAGAGTTAATATAAGATTTCGGTCGTTAGAGAAAAGAGCGATTATAGCGGAAGTATATGAACGGCGCGATTACACACCGAAATCGATCGATCCTTCCTTCTTTTTTAATTCCGATCCCTTCGGGGTTAATTACCGGCACCGCGTATCAGCGAATTTGCGAGTTGGACGTCGGATTTGGTACATACATGACTGACCTTCGACGTGTGGGTACGGAGGCTGGACTCCGTGGCGAAACCCTTGCCGCAGATGTTGCAGTGGAACGGCCGGTTCTTCGCCCGCTCCACCTGAGCGTCGTGATTCCTCAGGTGTTGCTGCAAATTCGACAGTTGGATGAAGGCCCGCCCGCAGTCCGGTAAATGGCACTTGTACGGTCGTTCACCTGCGATCAGATACCGTAAGGCATATTAGAATTTCGTGCGGCTGTGCACGAGCGTGTATACGTAAATTGTGTTACGGTGGAACACGTAACGGCCCACCGTACACGCTCGATCGGGAAATTCGCACCGGTCATGCCACGCGATTTTCCCCTATAGACGTCGTTCGAAATTCCAAATTTTTATCTTCCATCGAAAGATGAATATTGTAAGTGTCGGCGAATTCATTAATCTTTTAATATTTACCCCACAAATATAACTTTAAAGTTTTATTTCAACAATAAATTTTCATATTTCGATGGATTATCATATTTGTACCTATTTCTAGTAGTCGCGCGTAGTGCTTTCCTATTATTCGTAATCATGCATAAAGTATTCATGTTCCTAAGCCGTTTATACCGTTTACTTTTGATTGGCGTGTAAGAGTAGGTATCATCCGTTTAACGTATCGTACATTCAATATTAACTTTGTCCTCGCGGTCTGGTGCGACGAAGATTGATGAAGAGATTGAAACGTCATTAATGACTCGTTTGTCAGCTCGCCAAGTATGTCTCTCACTCCTCGGCTCGCTCTTAAAAGGTAGAAGCTATGTGGAAAAACGCGCTTAGGAAGTGAATTGGCTGGTCAGTGACTCTCGACTTTTTTTCCGGGACTTTTTTTTTTACCCGGCATGCAACAGGTTTCTACATCTACATCGAAGAGTACGTGGGAAGAAAAATACCGCATTTTTTTTCCTCTCTACAGGCAGAAAGGCGCGGACGGCGCCGGCTACTGCGCAAATTAGAGATAGCTAACACGCAAATATTTCCCATGTAAATGTGTGCGATGTTATTTATTGCATGGTCTTAGGAAAATTTCCGTTTGCTTCAAAATACGAATATTTAAGCGGCCCTCCCGCCCGCGTAATAATGATAAAGTAGCCTCTCGATCGTTTAATCGCCTCGATCGATCGGCATTCGAGAGGCAGACAGACTTCAGCTGCCGCTGCGTTTTTATTGCGTTTTTTTTTCTCCTCTCCACGGCTCGCCGTTCGTCTCGAGTGGACTCGATTCTAATTCCCACAAGCGATTGGCTCAATTTAACTTTTATTAATATCGACATTCTTCCCCAATCCTTTTTACCCCGGGCACTTGTTCCTTCTGCTCTCTCTCTCTCTCTCTCTCTACCTCTCTTTCACTCTCTTTTTCTTTCTCGTCTACCTCTTGCTCTTACTCTCAGTCGTTCCACGGGATTCATCTTTTATTCAGTCGCGTGATTCATCGGAGAATTTCACCGTGTTCGATTTAATAAAAATAACTCGAGCGAGCAAAATTAGATTCTGCAATCTTTTATCGCGTGCTGGCATTTGAAACTTCCGAGCGTAAAAACAAAACGCGATCAACGAGATGCATTTTTAAACATGCGGTTTTTTTGCGCCACGAAAGATAATGGAAGCCTTCTTGTGCGCGATACACGATAAAAGTAGTAGGATTTTAAAATGACGGTATAGTACCGCGGTAAGTCTGTTATTAAAGGAAACGATTTCCTGGGGGAAACGAGTGAGCTGATCGTTTCTATTTATTTCCCACCTTAAATGAGTGCAGTGGGAGGAAGACACCTTTGTATCTACAAAGCTTTTCACATGAGGTAGAACGAGAGTTGCTATATTTGTGTTAACTTATTTATGATAAGTTCCACGATAATCCACTTCCGCGAATATTCGTACTCATGCTACAATTCTTTTTAGTACTTTGTTTAGAATGCGAACTTTAATCGATCACTTTTCCAAACTAAATTATAAATCCCGATGAAATATTTATATACTGAGAGAAAAATGTTAAATTTTAATATATGTATAATTTGTTTCAATAGTATTAATATAATATTTATTTACGGGAAATAAATATTTGCCAAACAAAGGATATAATAATAAATAAGATGATTTTTTTGTATTAAATAAAAATATGTTTACGTTTAAATATTCAACTACCACTATTCAAACGGATTAAAATTTATTAAAATTTAGCACCCTTTTCTTTATCAATATCAGTATATATGTATAAAAGAAACTTGGCTAGACTTCGTTTCCGATTTTGCCGATGTTACAGCCGGTGTATTAATATGTATTAATTACGACAGGAAACATACGGTCTGTTCACGAGTGACTAAGTCTTCTTTTTACGTTACGCATGTCAAAACAAAGTATCGTTTTACATGAAGAAAATATTTAATTATGTAACAAGGATGGTCTTGTTAAAAAAAAAAGAACGTTAGAAAAAAGGCGCTATTGGAATTTTTATGAAGGGACACTTGGCCTTTCCCTCCTTCGCCCGAGACCGTATGTTTTCTGTCGCGCTACAATTAAAAACGTATTAATACAACGGCTATAACAACAGTGGCGTCGGGCGGGAAGCCTAGTGGTTTCTTATTGTCGGCGCTTAATTGCTGGTTGAAACATTTATTTGTAGAACGATGAGCTCGCCCACGTGTACGCTCGCACATACGTAATATTCGCCTTTTTTGTGTGCTTGACGTTACCGGAAGTAGCGACGGTAGGAACAAACGCGGTGAGAAGGGTTACAAAGTGAGCACACCTCTCTCTTTCTCCCGTTCATAAAAGGGAAATAATGACATAGAACGCACGACTCCGGCTGGTCATTCGTTTCTACGAAAACAGTCAGTTCTCCTATTCACTATTATGCGATAAACGTTGTGCTGACACGATGGCGAGCATTCTCGCGCGATAATAAAAAAAAAAAAATAAATAAAAAGGACATTGCGGTAACACACACACACACACACACACACACAGCATTGATATTTCAAGCGTGCAGTTGGCATTCATTTTTTTCTACCTCGTTTATCGTTTAATCGACCGTGTCATTCGCCAAGGCGTTAATCCGTAAATGCGCAATTTGATAAAGTATCAATTTATGTATTAATCTCTAGTTACTCAATTTTTGTTAATAATTAAGTTTTTGGTTCATTTATTAAACAAAAGCGACAACAGCGATAATTGATAATTACCTATTCCGCAAGATAGGACGATTACCTCGGTATCTCGAATCAGAAGTAGCGTAATTTTACGTAAAAAATAACAATGAAATACAATTCCTCATTTTAATGTAATAGCTTCTCATTTTGCAACAATTCGCGTGGTCTCGCACGGAGCTGTGCGAAGAGTTATGATTAAATTTAAAATCTCGCGTGCGAAACGAAAAGACAAGAGATGGAAGAACGTGGGGGAGAGGGACAAGGATCGCTCGAGGTTGCCTTGTCGAAGGGTCTAGCCCCAACTCTTTGAAACCCCTTTGTCGACTGCAGGAATTACGAATTATAAAGAACTTTTGATGAATCGGTGCACTTCGGCAAGCATTCATCTCGACAATCGACATTGGACTCAAATTTCAACCCCAGAACATCATCTATCCTCATATGCGATGGAGCAAAAACGTTACAATGATATCACACAATGATAATGCGGTTATCGATTACGAGAAATTATAATTTTAAATTAATAAGCTAAAAAACATATAATTAATCGAGCATTTTTTTTCTCTCGATATCTTGCGCTTTAATATTTCGAAATGTCTGGCTTGGACAGCCATAGGTAAAATATAATATTTGCTACCACGTTGCATTTTCGTACGAGCCATAAATTCTATCCGTCATTTCGGGGCCCGGACAATTTCAATTTTATTCCATTAAAAATCGTGATCATTGTTGCACGAACGAATTTATCGCGCCAGACATTCTACACGAATTTCAACATTTAATTTTGACGTACGGTTACTACCCTCGAGCTCTCTCCCTCCCTTTCCCTCCGTTCACTCGGCTTGCTTGCCTCTCTAGCTCTCTCTCCCTCGCTCTTTTCTCTCATATTGTCGCTCCACCTCTAGCGGTGGCGCAAATCATTTTCGGAATATCAAACACCTCTGACAGCACGTCCAATGATTTCCCACCCCGTTCGCCCTTTCGCCGGCCGCATAGCGACCCTTTGACGTCGACCGCGACTCTTTTCGCGAGATGTCGCGTTCGTTATAGGCGCCGCCGACCACGTTTGTGAGATTGCTGACGCCTTTTTTTTTTTTCCGCGGTGCCGATATGTCTCGCTGCACCACTCGTCAAAATCACCGGGCACGCGAAAAGTAGGTAGAAAGCCCGGCAAAAGCTCGCACGTGGTTGGACGTGTGTGAGCACGTAACAGCCCGTGGAATCGCCACCTCCCTCTTTTCCACCTTTCCACCACCTCGGTCTGACCGCTGGTGTGTGCTGATAGTCCCGTACACCCGTGCATCCCGGGTCTCGCACTCGGTGAATGTTATATGTCGGGTGGATGGTCACCCACCCCCTCGCACTCGACCACCCCCTTCGCAGTCCACGGCCCGGCCCGGCACGGCCCTACCGCCCTGCCGCTCGCGCGGCCCACTACACGTCCACGGCAGAAAATTAATGTCCCCTGCAATCCATGTATAATGCATTCGCATTTCGTTCAACGAACAAATGAACGCACCGCTAGAAAATTTACGTCCCATCTCGCTCACGGCCGAGCGTCTTTTCTCTTGTTTCGAGCTCTCTCTCTCCCTCTCTCTCTCTCTCTGTCTCATTCTCGTTCCCCTCTCTTTTTCTCTCCATCTCTCTCCTTCGTTCCACTCTCTCGTCTTTCCCTCTTTCTCTCCATCCATCCCTCGCACGGGAATTCGCGAGCGGAAACGAGCCGGCCCTGACCAACTCGCGGCGGTGCTCGCTCATTCTCTCTTCCGGCCTCGCGTTTCACCATCTCCCGCCTTCCCCCTCTCTTTCTCTTCCCCGGTCCCCTCGTCCCGTACTCCCGGCGTCATCGAAATTCCGGCTGGAAATCATTAAATTGCACGCACTCACACGCACGTGCGTCGTTCTCACTGATGGCCCCTCTCCTGCTGCACCCTCTTCACCTCTACCCTCCCGCTCTTTCGCTCTTGCGACCTTCTATGACACTCGTCGAACTATCCACACGAGTGATACCTCGAATTTTGGCGTGTACTC